TTTATCACCGTCCCTTTGATAGTTCTAGCTAGATTTGCAACTCCAGTCTTCTATTTTCTGACCATTTACTTTGAAGCCCAAGGTCCGATTTGAAGGGAAGTGAAAAAAATATGGGCCTTCTTGAGACAGAGACAAGTTGAAGCAGTTCGATTTATGAAGATAAGCTGAGTTTTCTCGTTAAAGGGCTACTGGAGGGAGGTGCCAGGCATGGTTATGGTCAAGGAGTATCTTGGGCTGGGCGGTGATGGGAGTTAGGACCGTTGGAAGAGATCTGGGGTGGCAGTAATTTGACAATGAAACTGCGAGTTAACTGATAGTCAACGTGATTTCAACTCGCAGTTAACTCGCAATTAACTGCGAGTTTCAAGCTCGCAGTTAACATGTAAGATACCGAGAATCTAGGAAATTTGGTACAGGAGAATGCATCGATAAGATCTATACATTTACAGAGAGTGATTTCCAAGAATTGTGCAACCCACAAAAATAATGGGTTTAGCTCTGAGCAAACTCAAAGTTAACCCGCAGTTAACCTCCAAGTTAGCTCTTAACAAATGAAATGAAACTGCGATTTATCTGCGAGTTCTAGTGATAAGGCGAAATAGCGTTTAAGAGATAGAGATACAGATATAACAGTGTTCATATCATTAAAAAGTCCTATGGAGTACTTATTATCAAGTGAGCATTTTATACTTGTGTCTTTATCCTTAACAATATTATCTCATCCTAACGTTGTAGCTCGGAGATAACCCGCAGTTTCATTTCACTTGACTGTCAGCTAACTTGGCGGTTAAATGCGAGGTAGCTCCGAGATTCAGACCAGCGTGGGGGATATTGACGCGAATATTGCCTGTTCTGTGCATAACACGTTAGATCAAGTTATTACAGAACACAACAAAAATTAAAATATCCTATAAAAACTCTCTTGGTACAGCGTAAGAGATAAACCATCGCGGGTTCAATTTCGCTGACTTCACATGGGTTCGCAATCAACTGTCCTTTCTATAACTGACAGTTAACTCGCGGTGAGGTCCTAATTTCAAAAGAAACTGGGAGTTGACTACGAGTTGATGATGATCGTTCACTCCAAGTCTCGGTAGATTACTACCACCCCTGAGGATCCATAAGATCTCCCATCTTGAAACCTTGGCATGATTATGATTTGATCTTGATGTTTTTATGCCGTAACAGGTTTTTGTAGTAACACTTTATTTCGCCCAACATTTCGGCTCAACGCCGTCCTCGGAGGCCTGAAAGCGAGTCAATTACCTGTCAGGCGCTTATACCATCAAACACCTCTGTCACATCACACATT